TGAGCTAGCCTATCTATTGGATTTATCTTTGAGTTGGGTTTGTTTTGATTCATTGTTGCAAATGATTTTAATCTCATTTGTACTGTAATTGGGTTTAAAGGAATACTCTTCGAACACAGAGGCAGATACTATTCTCTCCATTACTTCTCTGAACTTTATTTTCTTTGTGCCTTCCATGTCTTGACTAAATCATCCTGTACGTTTGGACATCAAGCATAACATTGTCATCTCTGGGTCAGAAGGTTTTAGGTTCAATTTCCAGGACCTGAGAACCTGATTGAAATTGCCAATCCAGCGAAGTATGAAGGAAGGACTGCACTGTTGAAGGGGCCATGTTTCAAATGACATGTTAAACCAGTCTGCACTCTCAGTGTGATGTGAATATCAAACAATAGAGTTTTCGCTGGAGTCTATGTACCCATCAAAGGAACATCTTGGTGATTACAACATTATTACTTTGTGGGACCTTACTGTGGACAAAGTGGTTGCTTCGTTTCCTACATCACAGCAGTGGTAACAGTTGAGAAGTATTTGATTCGACCACAAGGCATAGGAACTGAAGTATGGTATTTGACCCATTGAGTCTACTTCCTATTCAATGAGATTATGGCTGGTTTGATAATCCTCAACTCCACTTTCCTGCCTTTTCCTCATAACCTTGGATTCCTTTACTGATGAAAAATCTGTCTATCACAGTCTGAAATCACTGAGGTCATGAAAGGCAGAATAAAAGTGTAAGATGTTCTCACTTTTCACATTCTTTGTTCTATTCTTCTTGTGCTCTTCTCTATAACAGAGTTTATCGGAGATTCTAGGCTGTCTTTTTAAGTCTCTGAAGTAATTTTTGCTTTTGTCACAAGCTGACAATCGTTGATAGAGGACAAGATCTCATGACATTTAAGGTCGACTTCCAATTCACTGTCACCCCTCTTTGTCTGACCATGGAAGTTAAAATTAGTTTCCATCAGCTTTCCCTACATCCTTCAATTACAGGTATAGAGAAAACCAGTGTTCTAACGCTGAGCCAATGGTTCCTGGTTTATCTGCCCTTAATCTGACCTTCATCATTGAGATCATTGATTCATATGAGAAAGAAAGACCTTGGTTCATTTGTATAGCCCCTTTCACTGCCATAGGATGTCCAAAATTGCTTTATAGCTAATTAAGTCAAGTCACTGTTGTAATATGGGAAACAAGGCACCCAACCTCTGCATTAACAAAACCCTGAAAAGGAAGCATTATTATTAACGCCAACAATAAAGATTTATTTGTTTATGAAGTTTTGGCGTAACTTTCTTGATTATGTATTATACTCCTGTCTTTATAATGCCAAGCATCTAATGTACTACTTGTATTCAACAGCCCTGCTCAACCTGAGCCAGGGTCTTTGGCTGTTTTTGAGACTGTGAAGACCTGCCAAGAGCATGACTTGATCCTTTTTATTCGATTTACTGGGTGAACGGAATCAATAGAATTTGAAACCACATTTCAGGAAGGAAAAATGATTTTGCTTCTGCTCTCCGACGATCGCTTCAGTTCCACAAACAAATCTGTCAGAGTTCTCACATGAATTGAAATGTCCCAGCCACAAGCCACTTTTCAAATTAATTCCTTAAATCCTATAATAAAGTGATGACTAATTTAGCAAGGTAATGAAATCTCTTATAAATCTCCCAGCAGGTGTCTAAAGTAATTTCCTGCAATTTCACTTGAAAAATAATAAATTGAAACTGTTGCTGGGTCACTAAGGAATTTCCAGTGGCATTATTATCCCATAAATGATACAGGTGATACAGTAATAGCCCAGTATGCTGTAACCTTGCTTCTGAATCAGACCGTTATAGATTCAAGACCAAGTTTAGAGAGTTTAGCACAAAAACTCAGCTGATCCATTGTGGTACTGTATCAGAGGTGACACCTTTCATTTTTTTTTTATTCATTTACGGGATGAGGGTGTTTCTGGCTAGGCAGCATTTATTGCCCATCCCTAATTGCCCGGAGGGTAGTTCAGAGTCAACCACATCGCTGTGGGTCTGGAGTCACATGTAGGCCAGAGCCGATAAGGACGGCAGTTTCCTTCCCTTAAGGACATTAGTGAACCAGATGGATTTTTCCCCTGACAATCAACACTGGATTCATGGTCATTACATTCTTAATTCCAGATTTTTTTTTTAATGGAATTCAAATTCCACCATCTGCTGTGGCAGGATTTGAACCCAGGTCCCCAAAATGTTATCTGGGTCTGTGGATTAACAGCCCAGTGATAATACCACTAGGCCATTGCCTCCCCTGTCATCTGACACATTAAAACAAGGTCCTGTACGTCTTCTAGTGGGATGTGAAGGATCCTGTAGCACCATTGCAAAGAAGTGTAATGGACTTATTCCCCTCGCTGAAATAACTCCACAAAGGCCAGTACCCCGTCACCAAGTTACCCTTTATTTACACATGGAGAGTCCTTGACACTGATCCAGCTCCCTCAGAGCCAGCTCTCGGAGTGAACAGAACCTCTGACACTCCTGTTTTTATCTGTCAGCCAGGGCTCCCTGATTGGACCAGATTAACAGCCCCAGTCATGAACTCACTTTCTATGAGGTCCACCTGACTGACCTTGTTGCAATCACTATCAGCCAATATTTATTCCTTGATTAATGTCACTGAACCACCCTATCTTGTCATTATCACATTGCTGTGTGTGTGTGGGAGCTTGCTGTGCACAAAGTTGGCTGCCACGTTTCCAACATTGCAACAGTGACTGTATGTCCAAAGTGTTGCATCAGGTTTGATGCACTTTGGAACATCCAGCGGCCGGGAAAGGTGCTATGTGAACACACATTTAAAACAGAGACATTGTTCAGCAAGTATGACTTTAGGGATGAGAAGTAGTCTTGGCAACAAACTTTCAACAGTTTCAGTGAGAGGTCCAAGTGGTATACATTGCAAAATCTGCCCCTTGATCAGCAAGGTTTATGTTCTGATCATATTTAATGGAAGCATCTGAGATACCTTGGATAGATACCCTTCATTAAAACCTCTTGTCAGTGTTAATCTCAGTTACTCATCCCATCTCCCAGGCACAGGGAATGGACTTGGATATGGTGGTTGCATGAGAAATAGTCATGATATCTGAGAGAACTCAACACAAGATGAATGAGCATTTTAAAAACGAGGCACCGGGTTTGCTCAAAAATACCAGTATACCTTGCCACAATGGGTGATTCTGTCTCTAACGATAAAGCAAGTCTTGAACTGGCTTTAGTAAATATCTGATCCCTTATTCTCTTCTAATAACTAACACCAGACAAGTCCCCATTATCCAGATCTCAAGCATCCAGGATTTCCCATTTGAATCTCAAAAGCTGGATACATGTTAATTCCAAATGTTTAGGGTCTGGATGAGGGAAACATTTCTCCACTGTGTAGGAAGGGTTACTACACAAAGTCTTCAGCAGAAGATGGGTTCAAAAATTGATTGCATAATATTTCATGGCTAGTTTTAATATGACTTAGGGGGAGGTGATGGCCCAGTTGTATTATCACCTGGACCGTTACTCTAGAGACCCAGCTAATGTTCTGGGGAGCCGTGTTTGAATCCCGCCACGGCAGACAGTGGAACTTGAATCCAATTTTTACAAAAAAAACTGGAATTAAGAGTCTAATGATGATCATGAATCCATAGGAATACAGAGTACTGGGCTAATGGTAAGATTCTTGGTAGTGTGGATGAGCAGAAAGATCTCGTTGTCCATGTGCATAGGTCACTGAAAGTTGCCACCCAGGTTGATAGCGTTATTAAGAAGGCGTACAGTATGTTAGGTTTTATTGGTAGAGGGATTGAGTTTCGGAGCCATGAGGTCATGTTGCAGCTGTACAAAACTCTGGTGCGGCCGCACTTGGAGTATTGCCTACAGTTCTGGTCACCGCATTATAGGAAGGATGTGGAAGCATTGGAAAGGGTGCAGAGGAGATTTACCAGGATGTTGCCTGGTATGGAGGGAAGGTCTTATGAGGAAAGGCTGAGGGTTTTGAGGCTGTTTTTGTTAGAGAGAAGAAGGTTAAGAGGTGACTTGATAGAGACATACAAGATGATCAGAGGATTAGATAGGGTGGACAGTGGGAGCCTTTTTCCTCGGATGGTGATGGCTAGCACGAGGGGACATAGCTTTAAATTGAGGGGTGATAGATATAAGACAGATGTCAGAGGTAGGTTCTTTACTCGGAGAGTAGTAAGGGCGTGGGAATGCCCTGCCTGCAAAAATAGTAGACTCGCCCACTTTAAGGGCATTTAAATGGTCATTGGATAAACATATGGATGATAATGGAATAGTTTAGGTTAGATGGGCTTCAGATTGGTTTCACAGGTCGGCGCAACATTGAGGGCCGAAGGGCCTGTACTGCGCTGTAATGTTCTATGTTCTATGTTCATTGTTGATTGTTCGAGAAACCCGTCTGTTTCACTAATGCCCTTTTAGGGAAGGAAAATGCCATCCTTACCTGGTCTGGCCTACATGTGACTCCAGACCCATTGCAATGTGGTTGGCTCTTAACTGCCCTCTGGGCAATTAGGGATGGGCAATAAATGCTGGCCTCGCCTGCAATGTCCATGTCCCATGAATGAATAAAAGAAACATCTGAGATACATAAGACTCCATTATAAGACCTCAGGCTACACCTAAGAGTCAGTGCACATTACTGCTACTGAAACATTCTCATACTAACTTGGCAATAAACACAGAACTGGTTGGCCAGTGGAACCCCGCCCAGGAGCTGTATGCTATATGGTGATGGACGGAGCTTGTCAGTAATGCCAGTTAACCCTTTCAGGTACTAAATGTTTTATACAACGTCATGGTCTGGGGAATTTGACAGCAGTACAGGTAAGGGTGCAAGCCTCTCAGAGGATGACTTCCTCTTTATCCCACATGACATGAAGCATGCTTTGCCTCATTAGGAAATTTTGGATCAATCTATTGTTTTCTTCATTTGCTTTCCACCAGCAGACTCCAACTGGTCTGATCTACCACTCGCCTAAAATAACTGACAATAATTTTAACAAAAAAAGCCACTCAATCGTCTTCAAATGGCTCATGGAGCTTATTTAATTTGGAAAACTGTCAGTTTATTTCATAAGGATGTCGGTCACATGCCAAAATGAACCAACTGTGCAAGATGCTTACACTTGAAATGTTTGTTTCCTCACTGAAGAAAATGTGCAAACCAACTTCAACAGTAAGGTACAGTTATAGACAAAATATTTTACTGTAATGTGGCACAACGAGGCTACTTAATATTAATTGGAGTGTAAACATGGTATGGGTAACACCACCCTGACTGCCCAATGCACAAACATATCCTCTCAGAAATGAGGGGGACACCTGCAGAATTAAAACAAGTTTCTAGCAAGAAATTAATATTTTCATTAACCCGGGCAATGTGTTTACTTGCTACAATTGCAATCAAATCAGAGGAATTAAAATGGTTGACAGCAAGTCTAGCAGGTCAAAGGGGAATCATACAGAAAGGTGGAGGTTAGAAAAGAGTGCTTGCGGACTTTAAATCTTTGTGCACTGCTGACAACAAAAATGCACTCTGTCAATTCTTAAGCATTTTCTCAAACTTATGATAAGCCTGGTACTGTACGGCGAGGAAGATGTAAAGTGACTTTAGAAGGATTTGAACAAGCTTAGTGAAAGACAAGAACATAGCAAATGGAATATAATGTGGAAAATGTAAGGATGTCCACTTTGAAAGGATAAACAAATGTGCAGAGTATTTCTTAAATGGTGAGAGGTTGGAAAATGTAGTTGTACAAAGCGGCCTAGGTGTCCTTGTTAATAAGTCACTGAAAGCTAATATGCAGGAACAGCAACCTTTATCACAAGACAATTTGAATACAGGAGTATTCAAATCTTGCTTCAATTGTACTGGAGCGTGGTTAGGCTGCATCTGTTGTACTGCGTGTTGTTTTGGTCTCCCTATCTCAGGACATAAATTATTGCTATATAGGAACTGCAACAAAGGTTTCCAGGGCTTATTTCTGGGATGGTGGGATTGTCCCGTGAAGACAGATTGGGCAAACTGGGGGCTGCATTCTCTGGAGTATCAAAAAATGAGTGGTGATGTCATTGAAACATATAAAGTATAAAATATTTTACAAAAATATAAAATACTTGAAGGGAAACAGATGGTAGGTGTGAGTAAAATAATTACTCCTCAAAGCAGGAGTTGTATTTTAAAAATAAGGGGAATGTCACAAATTCAAGATGAGGAGGTTCTATTTTATTCATGGGGTTGGGAGTCTTTGGAATTCCCTACTACAGAGTGCCATGGAAGCTAAGTCTATGAGTATGTTTAAGGTAGAGATTGATACATTTCTGATTACCAGCAGTGTTCAGGGTGACGGTGACAGGGGGAGTAAAAGCCATTGAAATATTCAATTAACCATGATCGTATTGAATGGGGGTGGGGAACAGGTGAGGTGGTTTGAAAGGCTCACTCCTGTTACTATGTCTCTCTGTACACAAAGCCACATTCCTTCACTGATCCCCTGATACCTCACCTTTCACTACTATGTTCCAAATTTTTGAAATTTTCCTAATTCTACCCATGGAAAAAACAAAGTTGCTGGAGAAGCTCAGCAGGTCTGGCAGCATCTGTGAAGGAAAAAAACAGAGTTAACGTTTCGGGTCTGGTGACCCTTCCTCAGAACTGTATGTACCAATAATGCCTGATTCATTGTCAGTGAATAGCCATTTTGTTCTGATGCCTGCACTGCCTCACAAATACAGCAAATACTGCAATTCGGAAGTTAAAATAAAAGGTGCTGGGACTATTCAGTAGGTCAGGCAGAGCTTTGGTGAAAGATTTTGTTGTAACTTGAAATATTGCGTGCGATTTTAATTTATTCAAAAGTGACGTATTTGTACAATGTTAAAATGACGTCCATCAACTGTGTTTTTCTCTCTCCACACAGAGTTACAAACAGAGAGTTTATAAGATTGTTATTTTTGGGAATTATTCCTTTAATTTAGGAAGAATTAATTCCATTTGACCTCCTCTGAATTTTGACCAACGACAGTTGCTCAAGGTTAAACGTGACTCCAAGTTTATCTTGAAAGCAAAATACAGAGGATACTGGAAATCTGAAACAAATTCACTTCTGAAGAAGAATGATACTGGATTGAACCATTCATTCTGTTTTTCTCACTCCACAGATATTACCAGACCTGTTGAGTTTCTCCAGGAGTTTCTGTTTTTGTTCAAGAAGTTAGACTTTTAAGAACCATTGGAGCTGTGGTCGTAGCGGAAAAACTAACTCAGTTTTTTACTTGTTTTGGTCTATTGATTGTCATACAATCTTATCAAGGCTCTAAGTTTACATCAAAGGGTTTCCAGGGCATTATCAGCAGTTTGCACTGATTTCAACTGCAAAGCATCTGCAGACACAGGGAGATTTGAAGAGATACCATCAGATTCTGGAAACCATGATTAAGACATAGTGTCACGAATACCCACAGGATTGGAAGAAAGGATTAGATTTCTCACTGTTTGCTACCGGAGATTCCTCAGATGAATTCACTGAGTTTATTCCATTCAAATTGATCTATGACCACAAGATAAGAGGCTCATTACAATTGATTCAGGAAAAGTTATTACGACAAAAAAAGTCAAGTTGTCAATGTTGGATTATGTGCTCATGTTTCTCAAAAAACTAACAGGAGTAGGTAAAAGCATTTAAACATTTTACAGGTCAAAAGAAAATGAAGGAAAGGACAGACAAGCATGATAAAACTAGAATGTTTCAAGACTTGGCATTGCTAATGTTGCCTTTGAAAAGCGAACCTTTGAAAAGTGAACTTCACTGGTCTGTACAAAGTAGTTAGAAAGGTCAGTGAGCCAATTTACCTGATAGAGAATCCTAATCCTAGGATAAGGAATCAATAATGCCATATGAACGTATTGATGTGATATCATCACAGGGAAGGAGAAATAAATATCTCAGGTAGTCAGAGCAGTTGACAATGACAGAGATGATGAGAGTGAGGTAGAAGGAGAGATGGACTCTTTGCTTACAATTTGACTAGTCAACACAGAAATACTGTTAAGGTCATGTTGCAGCTGAATAGGACATTGGTTAGGCTACTTTTGGAATACTGTGTTCATTTCTGGTCTCCCTGTTATAGGAAAGATGTTGTGAGACCTGAAAGGGCTCAGGAAAGATTTACAAGGATGTTGCCAGTGTTACAGGGTTTGAGCTCTTGGGAGAGGCTTGTTAGACTGGGGCTATTTTCCCTGGGGCATTGGAGGCTGAGGGGTGGCCTCATAGAAGTTTATAAAATCATGATGGGCATGGATACGGTGAATAGCCACCGTCTTTTTCCCAGAGTAGGGAAGTCAAAAACTAGAGGGCGCAGGTTTAAGGTGAGAGGGGAAAGATTTAAAAGGGACCTAAGGAGTAGCTTTTTCCCACAGAGGGTGGTGTGTGCGTGGAATGAGCTCCCAGAGGAAATGGGGGAGGCTGGTACAATTAAAAAACATTTAAAAGGCATCTGGATGGGTACATGAATAGGAAGGGTTTAGAAAGATATGCTCCAAATGCTGGCAAATGAGACTAGATTTGTTTAGGATCTCTGGTCGGCATGGATGAGTCAGACTGAGGTGTCTGTTTCAGTCCTGTACAGCTCTATGACTCTATAGAGACACAATGCTCTCATATTTAGAGGAGCATTCAGTAAAACAACTTAAGACATATAAGGAAATCTGTCGGAGATTTCAAGTTACTCGCTTTCAAGAAAACAAGTTACTGAAACCCTTTTTGATTTGTGCTTACGTTCAAGCATTGGGGGACAATGTTTGAAGCTCAGCAGCACTGAATGTAGGTGTGTGTGCACAACAAGCTTTGCCTAGAGACAGGCTGTTGATTGTATTTTCAATGAGAACATAATGAGTTGTGGAGGTCAAGGGTCATCAGCATAACGACAACTCTGATTGCCCTCTGGGGAGGCAGAGAGAGAGTGTGTGTGAACAATACTATCCGGATTGCAAGAGACAATTTCCGCTCTCTGCAGTGGTGTAACCAAAACTTAAAAATCATTGAGCTATTCTCTCTGTTCGTTTGCTATAAAATGTTCCCTTTAACCAGTAATTGAGAAACTGAACAATTAATGTGTAAACCCTTGCCCTGTGGCTTCAAAAAAGAACTGAATTGGGCTTGGAGATGAGGATCAGCGATCAGAAATATTTGGAAGAAGCAAAAGGGACACCTTATCGAATCCTGTGGACTGATGCATTTGGAACTGTGTTTTCCCAACATTTTCTCCTCCATCTGTAATAGCCATGTCTGTTTCTTTGTGTCTGTTCGCAAGTGCGTAGGGTTTTAAGAAGGAGGTTTAGCTGCTAGAATTATTTTGATAATTCGTGTTTGGTATGTCTGTGGTTAGAATTGATTTATTTGTAATAAGTAGTAGTGCATGTTTAAGATTTTTTCTTACTCATTCGCTGGCTGGCCAGCATTTATTGCCAATCCCCATTTGTCCTTGAAAAGGTGGTGGTGAGCTGCTTTCTTAAACTGTTGCAGACTATGTGCTGTGGGTTGACTCACACTGTTGTTAGGGAGGGAATTCCAAGGTTTTGACCCAGCAACAGTGAAGGATCGGCAATATATTTCCAAGTCAGGATGGTGAGTGGCTGGGACCGGATCTTGAAGGGGGTGGTGTTCCCATGTATCTGTTGTCTTTGTCCCTCTAGATGGGAGTGGTCATGGGTTTGGAAGGTGCTGTTGGAAAAAAATTGGTGAAAATCTGCGGTGGCATCTTGTACACACTGCTGCTAACGAGCGTCTGTGACGGAAGGAGTGGATGTTTGTGGATGTGATGCCAACCAAAGTGGGCTGCTTTGGCCTGGATGGTGTTGAATTTCTTCAGTGTTTGTTGGAGCTACATCCATCCAGGCAAGTGAGGAGTATTCCATCACACTCCTGATTCGTGCCTTCTAGATGATAGACAGGCTTTGAGGAATCAGAAGTTGAGTTACTCACTGCTGAATTCCTAGCCTCTGATCTGCTCTTGTAGCCATTGTGTTTATGTGGCTAGTCCAGTTCAGGTTCTAGTCAATGGTAAACCCCAGAATGTTGGTATTGGGGATTCAGTGATGGTGACATGATTGAATGTCAAGGGGCAGAGATTAGATTAGGCTAATTATCATCCGTGCCTCCCTTCAAGAAGAAGTACTGGAA